GGGCCGGGCTGGGCCGGGCCGGGCGAGGCGGAGCGGAGCGGGCCGCGGCGCGGCGGGCACACGGCGGCCATGCCGCAGCACAGCACCCTGCTGCACTTGGTGGCCGGAGGGTGAGTGGCGCCGCGCGGCGGGGAAGGGAGCGGGGCAGGACAGGACGGGCACCGGCTTTGCCCTTGGGCCGGGGSCTGCGCTCGGCGGCCGCGGGTCTCGGCTTCCCGCCCGCCCCGGCTTCCCGCCCGCCCGTTCTGCCTCCAGTGGCGCAGCCGGGCGTTTGAGCTCGAGCCTAGCCGGGCCCCGCGTCCGCCCTTGAGCGCCTCAGCGCGCCCCGCTCGGAGAAACGCCTGTCGCTAAGCCTCGGAGCAAGAGCAGGCTCTAAGTTGGTGCTGTCCTAAAGCAGGAGACAAGCTGGCCCTGCGGGCTTCTCCGGGATAACCGCCTGGTTTAGTGTCCAATCCCAAACAATGTGTGCCTAACGCCTTTCTGAATTTTGCCAGCCTGTTGGAGGGACCAACTAGGGAGCTCCGCAGTGTAACGTGTTCAGTAAACGTGCCGTTTAAGTGATTTTAATTAGGTAACTTCTGATTTTCTGCAGTTCGTAGAATCGCTGTGCAGTGTCAGTCATCACTTATATGTATTTGCCTTCTCTCTTACCYGTGTTGTTTATAAATATCCTATTCCCTTTTGCCCCTGAACAGCCTGTTTTATTCTTTTTCCATAATGAGATTTGTTTGAGCTTTCCCTCATCYTCGTTTTCCACCGCGGTCCTTAAAAGTAACTATGCAGAAATTTGGCAAGTGACAGGCTGTGCATTCGCTTTTTGCCTTGCTTTGAGTCCTGCGCTTTGAGCAATAATTATCGAATGACATTTGATCGAGATCCARAAGATAAGTAAGAAGCATGGATTGTTGCTGCTGTGCTTAGTTAATGCTGTTGCTTCACCTAATTAAGCGGATCTCATTGATGAAGGAGCAATGAGAGTTTGGTTTGCTCAAAACCAACTCGAGAGGTACTTTTGAACTCCTAAAACACAGTGTGCACTTAAACTGAGCAGCTCCTGGGCATGGTAAGAGATTTTTAAAAGATTTTTTAGATTTAGAGAGTAAAAGTTTTTTACAGAAGTTCAAAAGGCGCTTTGAAGAAAAGTGAATTGAAGGCTATTAAATAGTGCAACATGTCTGGCTGAGGAAATCTCTAACTATGCAGGGAGGAGGTGGGTGTTACTGGCTACCCCTGCTGCTCTGCAGGAAACTTGCCTATGCCCTGGACAGAACCTTGGCTTAAGTGGAGATAGGCCTGCCCTAGTACTGCTCTTCCTAAMGGAAGATTCTCAAGTTTTATCTACACTTTTGACTAGCCTAAATAAACCTAAATTGCCAATAAACTTGTCACCTCAGTGCATAGCCTTTACAGATCATCTAATAATGTTAATGGTATTTTTCATATCCCTGCTAATCCCTTTTCTCCAGCGTTCAGGTTTCTTGTTCTCTTTTTTGCCACCTCAAAYTTTTCCTTTTAAAATGCGAAAGCAAGACATAGAGGCAGTATTTTATATGATGAAATTATCTGCTTTCTTCTTTCACTACCCTTTTTGCCATGGCTTTGTCCATGTTATACTGGTTGATCTGGTTGACCGCTGCTGCCCTCCCTGGCCTTTTGCAGGAATTCCTTTTTTGCCTGTTTCTAGATTCACAGCTTCAGGATTTTGGCTTGATTAAGGCAGTCTACTGGCAGTCTAACGTAATTAGTAAGGCCCAGCATAATGGTCCTTTGTGACTGCCCACACATAGCGGTCTAATAATTTTCAGTATTTCCATCAACAGGAAGTTATTAAGTCTGGAACAAGCTTTCCTAGACTCTTGTTTGAGTACTCCTATTTGATTCCTTATAATTCTTTCTTGGCAGGAAAGAAAATTGTGTTTGTTGTTTAAAAAAGAGAGAGAGATTTTGTGGTCCAGTTTTAATCCATTTAGAATCTATGCTGTAGTGTGCTAAGACTGTAAGTGCAGTTTTGTGATATAGCAAAGCCACTGTTTACCAAAAAAAAATCTAATTTATTGAATTCTCAAAAAAAAAAAAAAAAAAAAAAAAAAAAAAAAAAAAAAAAAAAAAAAGTATAATCCCTCTAGCCACAATGGCTAATACAAAGTATCTTAATTCTGTAGTGATTTGATTCTGTCATTCTCGCCTGGCAATTTATATAGTCCGTAGCAGCATAAATCATTAAAAACAGACTTTTTTAAAAAAGTGATTATCACTCTTCTAGGTTAATTGGTTTTCCCAGTGATTTAAGATTTATTGAGCATAGGCAAGAAGTGTCCTCAATTAACTCTTTTTAGTATCCTTGTCGGCATTTTTTCATGCTTGCTAATTTAAAAAAAAAAGTTTTKTTTCTAGTAGATTTCATTCCATTCTGCCTTCATTAATATTGGATCAAAACAGAGTTCCCTTTTGGTGTGTCTTTTGTTTCTTATGAAACCAAAGAATTTTGAAGACATACACCATTCATACACTGAGGGCAGTACTGCCTTTTATTACTGTCATTTATTTTTAATAACTGGGACACTTTCTGTCCTTAGCTTTAGTTTAGGCTGGGTTCTCTACTCCCTAAAAAATTCCCCTTAGTCTAGCCATTTAGCCATACTGGCTTAGAGATCCTCCCTTCTCCTCAGACTTTCTAACTGCTGATTAAACTACCACTGTGATAAGGAACAACAATTTCTTTAACAACCATTTCTTACTCTTGCTTTTAAAATTCTTCTATATTAGCTACACCTTTTGGTGTCTGAAGGAAGTTGAGCTCGGGAAGCTTTGATGCCCATTTGGGGAAGGGGCACAAATCCGTGTCCTCACCATACCTACCCCATAGGCAGGGCCTTGGGGCTGCTGCAGGGCAGACCATGGTTTGCTCTTTCCAGGGGCTTCCTGGAGAAGCAAAGATCTTATAAAAAGTTGGGTCCTCTCATGCACAGTTCCAGAGAGAAATCTTCAGGGTACCAAGCAATTGGTTCTGTAATGCCATCCTGTTGTACCTTTTGGTGAGTTTTTAGATAAGAAGTTGAAACTGTTTCTGTAGTAGCGTTTATTCAGACTTGTGAGACTCCTCTATCCGTCACCACTGCACCCAGTTCTTTCCTGAGCTGGAAACTACACTTCTGGTCCAGAAAACAACAGGCGTGTAAGTCTGAAGTCGGCGCCAGGCAAATCAGCAGAAACCKTGGTAAAAAAGTGTTAGCCACCTGAATAAGTCTGGTCTGTTGGGGAAGACCTGCCTCACATAACTCCTGTGTCCTTAAGTAGGCTGCCTTGGATTCCACCTTGAGCTGGAATGCACGGATGTGCAAAAGGCTTGAGAAAGCAGCAGGAGTGCAGTGAAGCAGCATAAGCAGTTGCTGGTACCTCTGTCTGCCTTGAGACTTAGCTGCTAGAGCGTCAGCTCTTGGACTTGGTTGTAAGAGGAACCAAGGACTATTATTTTTCTCCTAACCTGCAAGCAACAATAAATGAAGTGCCAGAGTAAAGGCGTATATGAGCGCAAGGATGTATGTGCTTAGATCTGTAAAGATTGTTTCAAACTTTATTTTTCAGCACTGTGTGCTGCACCTTTACATGTAATTCTCTTGAATTGTGCCCTCTCAGTGTTTTATAAGCATGGCTACCTTGATTGATGATTCATGAGTTCCAAAAATATCTCCTGTCTGCCGAAGGTCCAGGGTCCTCTTTCACTAGGCAAGTTTGGGGGGTGTGAGCCTGGCTCTTGGCAGAAAACCCAGATCTTTCCTACAGGGCCTTGCAGAGAYGGGACTGACTAGGTTAGAGGTTGAGCGAAGGGGGCAGGCCGTGGGGAGGGAGGGCCCGTGCTGCCCCCCTGAGCCAGAGTTTCCCTGGGGAGCTGTGGGGCGCTCTGCCCGGTGGCGTCAGCAGCGAGACCGGGCAGAGGGATTATTTGCTCCGGGAGCCTGGAAGTGCAGAGATCAGCAGCTTTGCGCTGAGGGCCCGCCGGGTGCCTGCGGACTTGGGACTGTTTGTGTGGATTGCGGGATCCAGAGTGAGGCTGCCAGGAGATGTCCCAAGCCCTTGGCCCGTGTTACGTTAATCGGTGTCCGAGCAAGAGGTCGGCCGTGACGCAGAGCGGGGCACTGCGGGGCAGAGGCAGGCACGGAGCGGGCTCCGYGTTATTGCCTTTGCTGCACGAGTGTCATCTTACGTGTCCGGTGTCACTCTTCCCGCTCCAGATGCGGCGGCACTGCCGGAGCCATCCTGACCTGCCCCCTGGAGGTGGTGAAGACCCGGCTGCAGTCGTCGCGGTTGGCGCTGCGGCCCGTGTGCCTCCCCGAGATCCAGCTGCCGGGCATGAGCGTGAGGCTGCTGCACCCCACGCCGCCCGCCCCGGGGGTGCTCAAGCTGCTCAGGTCAGTGGGTGTCACCACGGGGTGCTGCGCACGGTACTGGCAGGGCCGTGACAATCACATGGAGAGAGCAGTGGAAGTAGGGCTTGGATTGAGGTGCTGCAGTCGGTAGCTGTGGTGGGAAGTTTCCTAATGAGCACAGATACAACTCGTCACCGTTGATCTGTGCTTTAAGTGCCGAGCCTGCGAGGCAGCTGCTGGGACTGGGAGAGGTTTCACAGCTAGTAGTTTCATCACTCCCAGCGTGATACTGTCAGCAAGAATAGGAAGAAGTGACTGGAGGAGAGTGGAGGAGTGACTGGAGAGAAAATGAGGATAGGGCAGGGGGAAAAAAAAAGAGAGCACTGGAAGTGTTGGAGATGGAGAGAGGAGACTGAAGTACTGAAGGAATCACAGGGTGGTTGAGATTGGAAGGGACCTATAGAAAAGGAAGAGGAAGGAGGAACAGCAAAGCCTTCAGTTTAGGTCCTCTCCTGATTTCTCTGTTTACCTCCTCCTGTAGGGCCATCCTTGAGAAAGAAGGTGCGCGGTCCCTGTTCCGAGGCCTGGGCCCGAATCTCGTTGGGGTCGCTCCATCTCGGTAAGTGCTGCTCTGTACGGATAGCCCATGTTGTGCATGTGCACGTTGCTAAAGTACTTCTTACCTTTGGAAAGCAGCCAAGGTCCTGAGTTCCTTGTGCCACAGGACCCTTTCACCGAGTCAGTTTTTCAGCCTGATCACAGCTGAAGGGAAAGACGACGGCTGCAGGCCAAGTGCAGGGGATAACTGGGATCACACTGGACAAACCCATGTGGAAAACGAGCAAAGTTAGAGTGAGGCCCCACAGCACTGCTGCTCCTGCTCTTCCTTGTGAGCTGTAACCTCACTGTGTTTCTTTTCAACCAGGGCCATCTATTTTGCTGCCTATTCTGGTGCTAAGGAGAGACTCAATGCTGTTTTTGTGCCAGAGTCCAAGAAAGTGCATATGTTGTCAGCAGCCTGTGCAGGTGAGTCRCTTCTGTCCAGAACAAGAACCAAGAGGTCCCTTTGTCTGTGTGAGAGGTTTSGCCTCTCCCTTTTGCTGCTTCCTTCAGTCCTGCTCCCTCTTCTGAAGCTTTCTCCCTCACCATATGCAGCAGGAGCTTTTTTGGTAGAAAATGTTTTTACCTTTTCTTTTTTAGACTCCTAACTTGAGGCCATGGATTTAGTCTTTAGCTTTCTAGCTGCGAGGAAAAGAGATCATATCATTTAGACTCTTCACAGAATCATATCTCTGGATATTTCACAGTCTCTCCTCACAAATTTGGTCAGTTGTTTCCTGCCTCTGTCACAGCTGGGCCTGTAGTAGGGTTATGAGTGGGAGATAGAGGAGGAGTTTAGGAACCACCAGACAAAGGGTGGAGTGTGGGGAGGGAGAGGATCAGACAGTTTGCTCTAAACATCTCCTCTCTCAGGGTCTCAAGGGTCTTCCTCAAATTGCAAACACCTGCAGCTTGCCCAGCAGTGTTTGTAGAACTGACAGATCAGGAACCGTCCACAGAATGTCAGCCCAGTCCTGTTGTTCACTGCTGCCTTTCTCTTCTGTTCTCCAGGAGTTACCTCTTCCACACTCACTAACCCGATCTGGTTGGTGAAAACCAGAATGCAACTGGAAGCCAGGTAAGGCAAGCAATTAGACCCACTCTGTGTGAAATTATAATAATGTGAAATTATCAGGGCCGTGCGGCCCTAACCCTGCCCCTTCTCTTTGCCCCTGCAGGGCCAAGGGGGAGCTGGGCAGCAATGCACTCCAGTGTGCCATGCACGTGTACCGCACGGAAGGCCTGCGGGGCTTCTACCGTGGAATCAGTGCCTCCTATGCCGGAGTGTCGGAGACCATCATACACTTCGTCATATATGAAGCTCTGAAACAGCAGCTGCAGAGCAGCTGTCATTCCCTGTCCCCTCCGCTTGGACTTCCACCCAACAGCCATGATTTCTTTGGGCTAATGGGAGCTGCTGCTGTCTCCAAAACGTGCGCCTCGTGCATTGCATATCCACATGGTGAGTGGGGCCACGCTCCTTGCTTCTTTTTCCCCTGGTGTGTGATGCATTGCCTATGGAAACAGCCTGCTAATAATCGTTTTGCCCCTTTGTCTCCTCAGAGGTCATTCGGACACGGTTGCGAGAGGAAGGGTCCCGGTACCGCTCCTTTATACAGACTCTGCAGCTTGTGGTCCGTGAAGAGGGCCCCCTGGCCTTGTAYCGAGGGCTCCTGGCCCATTTGATCCGCCAGATTCCCAACACAGCTATCATGATGGCTACGTACGAACTCGTCGTTCACCTGGCCTCCTCCACCTTGTAAGCACCTGCAGGGCAGCACCAGGCGGAGGCTGCTGGGCTGGAGGGGCCCCGCGCTCCTGGGGTTTGGGTCCTTTTCCGTGTTCTGGGAAGTGGTGCTTTCCAGCGCACAGCTGGTGGGGATGGCCTTTGTCAGGCACAGCATTCTCAGGAATTTGTTTTGTGTGGAACGTTCGGCTCCAGCGTTCATAACATAGCCCTTCTTCCTGGAGACTGGAGCTGCTCCAGTGTTTCAAGAGAGCAGTGCATCCGTTTGACAGTGCCTACTGTTGGCTCCCTGAACAAAGCAAGGGTTTGGAGCTGGAGGATGGGGAAGGGAGACAGAAGGGAAAGCGTGTGGGTATCTGAGCCTCCGAATCACTTTATTTGGAACCAGGAACTCCTATGCAGGGGCACAGTTTGACTTGAAGAATGGGACAGACATCTGTGGGAGATGTGGTGAGATAAACAGAGATCTTGGGACCTTTCATGCCCACAGAGGCATTCTCACACTCTTGCCTGCTGTACTGTCCCCTCCTCCTGAAGAGGATTCTTCCACCATGCCTGCCAGCACAGATCTTAATTCCTTCAATCTTAAGTCTTCCTTCAGGATCTCAGCACAATGTAGCTATTGGCCCTTGGAAATGTCAGGCAGCTTCTTTCAGCTGTGTGTGAGGAACTGGACCAAGTAGATGAAGGGAAGAAGCACAACCTGTAAAGAAGCACTACCCTCATGGTTCATGCTGCTGAGCTCATAGCCTTGTGTTGCTTCCATCTACTGTTSTTGCAGCCCCAACTGAGCAACAGAAAGAAGAGGACAACCCCTTCCCTCAGAAGTGCTAGGGCCATTCCACAAGTCGGAATTCCTGGTGTGAAATACACTTTTATGCTGGAAAAGGAAGCGGATCTAGAATGAAAAAAAAAGTGGACAAAGCAGAGGATTTGACCTGTCTGTACTGCTGGCACCCTGCCCGTACGGAATGAGCATTGTTTTATTCTGTAATCAAAGAATACCCTGTACTACATGCGTTGCATTTGTCTGCCACAGCCTGGGCTGCCTTCTGTTCCTCTGGGTTCCTAGACCTCATGGCCTGGGAAGCAACAGTGTGTTTGCAAAGAGAGTATTTTGGCTCTCTAAAAGGACAGGGGTGATGTGCCTTTCATATTCTGATACATGTGCGCGCACACACAAACACACACACAGTCTTTCACAGACATATGACAATTATTTAAGTAAATAATTGCTGGACAAGCTCCAGTCTTGCACCAAAGAGGAGGCTGGATGTTTCTTTCTCTGCTCATACTGAARAGCCATGGAAGTCCCGAACACTTTATTTTAAATCCATTTATTTTAAAATCCATTTCATTTTCCTCATTCTTCTATCCTTCATTTATTTTAGGAGTATCGACAACTTTACAAAGCGACACAAGCTGCAGTGTTTTTTTTGTTTTGTTTTTTTGCCTTTTTTGCATGAAACAAGAATAAACCTCAAACGACAACATTGAAAAAATATACAATATATATATATAATATCTGGGGAGTGAAGGGGGTTGTAAGAGACCCCACTCTGAGCCCTACGACTGGCTCCTCTTCCAGTTTTCTATTCTTTCCAAGCCTCTCCTTCCTCATCATAGTTTGAACGGTGCCACTGTCAGATGCACGTGCTCTAATATGTGTAGAATCTAGAGAGCCAAAGCGGGAGGTCAGTAATGTGGGGAATGTCCACAATGAGAATGACAGGAGAGGAAGGAACATGGAAGGCAGAAATGAAGGATGGGAGTATGTCTACAAGTTTGGGGAAGGAGAAGATTAAAATAAGACACCCTCTCCTTCCAGTCACAGAGTGTGGGGATCCCCTGGAATGATTTTTCAAGGCTCCTAGTAGTGGCGAGAGCCATCTCTTGTGCCCAGGATGTGCCGGTCATCCACGTGGCTGTCCGGGGAGTCAGGTGTCTCCGAGTCACTGCTGTCATCATCTTCCTCCAAGCCTTCCCGGGCTCTGCCCTCCCCGCTTCCTSCTGCCCTCTCCTGGCAGCTCTGGTAGGACTGTGAAAATGAGACATTCCGTGAGGTGAAAGATCCAACAAGCCCCAGCCCAACCCACTCCGACTGCTTCTCACCTCCATGGGATTAACTATGATGGTGAGGGCCGAGTCATCCCAGAACATGTCACCATCTTTGCTGCTGGCGCCCGTGTGCCCTCCTGCAGCAGCCCCGTGGGCCTCTTGCCCTGCTTCCCGGCGGTGAAGCGAGTGGATACGCAGGATGCCCAGGATTACCATGAGTGCCAGGAAACCCACACACACCACAATGATGACAGTGGCTGCACTGGGGACCACTGCAGAGGGAAAAGGAGGAGGAGGAGTCAGAATCTATCACGTAAACCTGCATTTCCAACCTGACTCACTGCTAACCTATAGGAACCAGGATTGTTGGGCGGAGCTTGCATCCTTGGTTTAGGCAGGAACATGTCCTGACTCTCCCACTGCCACCTGGGCACTGGCAGTTTGGGCCTTCTGCTGCTGCATCCTCCCTCTATGCCTGCACCTCTTCCCAGATTGCTCTGACATCATGTCTTGCTGCAGGAGCTGCACGACTTCAATCCATTGAGGTAACCAGAATTTGTCACATCGTAGTCYTTGGGTTTAGTTTTGGATTTTTCCTAGCTGCTTCTGCAGTACTCTGCAGTGGGAGAGCTGGGGAAGGGAGGGCCAAAGGCAGAGCTGTTGTGCCCTCCCAGCACACAGGCTATCCCTGCAGTTCAGTTCCAGCTGCAGACTGGACCAGCCTTGAATCAGCTGCTGCAAGAAGAATCACAGGCGTGGACGGCATCCACACTCCCAACAGGAGGAGGCCAAAGATGACACAGGGTCTTCTATAACACACCATGAGCTTTCACAACCAGGAGGAACCAATTAGATTGCTCTCATGCTTATGGCATAGAGAATTTTCCTCTTGGCCTCCTGTCTGCAGGGTCCTGTCTCCTGTATTTTTTTGCCTTACTGATCACCGCCTAGTTCTACCTATCCTGAGAGCAGTGCCAGTCTTGATTCTCTTCTTTCTGAAATCATGTCACCCAGCCCTACACAGCACATTTGCAAGATGCACAAATGGAATAGTATCAGCTCATGGTTACCCTTTTAGTCCTTCTCAGATGTACGTCTCAAATAACTTCTACACACATCAGAAAAGCAACAAATGAAAGAGAAATAATTGTCACACTAAGCTCTAAAACACAATTTGATCTAGACTTGCTAAAGAAGAGTGGGACAGGACATTATACTTAAAATTCCTAGAACTTCCTGAAATGAAGCCTGTGCTTCTATCACAGGAAACGATGGATTCTRTCAGGATATCAGAAAATGAACAGTCTGATACAAGAGAATAAAACCAAAAGATAGAGTTACATACTAGAGTCACTCTGGGTGCTTGCCAAGCTGTGCCCAGATAGCTCTGGGGGTAAGTGATGGCCTCGGTGCATGAAGAGCTGGGAACTCAGCATATGGTTGGGATGAGCGGCTCGGTTCATGTTGTGGAGGACATTCACCTGCAGAAAGACCAGAGTGAGGCAGAGTGAGACTCAGCCCCATGTTCACTGTGATCCCAACCAACATAGCTGTGCATTCCCGGGCACCACCTCCTCTCTGAGCATGCAGAAGCAACAGCATGTGCACACATTGATCCTGTACCTCAACAGTAAATTCATTGCTGGAGTAGCGCCCATTCATCTCAGTGCAGGACAGGTGAAATTTCCTTTCATAGAGAGCAGCCCCATGGATGATGTGGTATGAGACCTGGCGTAGTATCTCCTCRTACACTGCAATGCTCTCCACCCCTGAGACCAAGAAGAGAGAACTGCTGTGGGATGAGGAAGCTCCTACTTCTTTGTTATCTAGCATAATAGTCCCATAGGATCTAAGAACTAAGAATCTAAGGCAATGCCAGGTTCGTAGAAGGAAGTAGTTTTGGAACTGGCTGCAAAGGATCTATTGAAATCCTTGCTTGCATTGCTAGAAGATGTCAAAGGGAAGAAAAGATGCAGAGYGAGAGTCCTGTCAAGTTCTGGAGAGAGTACAAGCATTGCACCAGAGCTGTTGACATGTGAGAACATCAAACCTCAAGGGCAACAGGACAAAGTCATGAGGAATGATGCAAGGCTGAGTAAGATCTCAGGCACTATGCCCTAGCACTGTGTGCTGCAGGAGAAGCCATTTCTCCAAGGAAATGCTCTGGGACCTCAAAAGCTAGCAGCTCAGAAAACAGCTACCTCTCAGAGCTTTGCAGAGTGCATCAGAGCATCTCTAACAGCAGGTTAAATGCTCTTCTAGTGATGCCTTAYAGGCAGTGAAAGAGGCATAAAAAGACAACTGTGGCCAAGGAAGAGACCTACCTGTGATGGTGAGGTAGGCAGAGGTGTTAACAAGCTCAAGGCCCCGCTGCTGCAAGGCTGCCCCATCCAACAGCAGATATTCCCTCTCGGGATCCAAGTCATCTCCCACCAGTGAGATTTCACAGCCATCCAGGTTGTGCACGATCTCATCTGACATTCGTGTGTCTGTCACTGACAGGAAAGAAGACACGACCAGAAAGGCAGACAGACGTGAAACAAGGCAATAGTTATGATGGCACCCACTTACTTAGAGGTGCCCACATCATAAATAATGATTTCTCCTTCTCTGCTCACACAGATCTTGAGTAAAATCACTGTCTAATTACCTGTTGCASGAGTCCCCCTGCTTCTAATGATATTATTTATGCACATAACAAAATCCTTCTATTTTGGAACAACATACCGTTATGGGACTGGTTCATGATAATACATCTTRGCTATAAGAAGTGTGCTAATAATGCAAATTAGCAGCAACTATATCACACMTTCCCAGACACTGAATGCTTTTGAAGCTTTCCCGTATCTCACATTGCTGRTAACCCTGTTGGAGATCCTATCTTACTCAAAATGGCAACGACTTTCAACACCTAAGGCTAAAGCCTACCTGGCCTAAGTCAAGATACCTGTCATTGTATAAGCAAAGGCAAAGCTGGCCTCAGGGAAAAGATCTACTACGAACTAACTTAAGCAAACAGGGAAGCACATTCAGAGCATCTGCAGGAAAGGCAGCCAGATCTCTAACTATTAAAAAGAAAACTATGGGCAAAGAATCTGATTAGCAGAAGAGAGACACAAGAGGTGAAAGTACATGGAGAACAGAGTTCAGAGGAGCAATCTGCATGCACTGGAGGGAAAATAAGAGACAAGACATTGTAAGGTAACTAACTGGAGAATTTAGAGGAATAAGTGGTGCAGGAAGAGACTGGAGAGCAAAGAAATGTGGGAAGCAGGAGAGATGGGAGTAGGAGATTGAGGAAGTGCATGCATGGAGAGGAAAAGAGGAATAAAATCCAATGTTAGATGCAGTAAGGGGAAATGTAGACAAAATATGAAAGGGATTAGGAAGCAACAGCCAGTGAAAGGAGGAGGAGGAGGGAGCGAGGCAAGGAACTGTGAAGATGGAAAAAGTACCAGGAGGAGCAGAAAGGGATAAGAACTGATTACCCTACATATTTACAGACAATGTGCCTTGCTTCTGTGTTTGTAAGCTCTCTCCTGTTCTGGGCCTCACAAAGGGCTTTACTTCCTACGCAGAGCAGCATCACTTGCACAGCTTTCTGGTTTGTCTTACACCTCTCCGGGTAATGCACTCACCGGTATCATGCCAGCTCTCATCCTTCTTGGCCTCCACCTGGTGAGAAATAGAGCAGGTGATCTGGAGGTTGGGGAACAGGGCAACCCCATCAGGAGCCTCGAAGTCTGACACAGGGTGAGCAAAGTGAGCRTTGCCACTCAGCAGAATCTGGGGAGCATCGGGCTGTAGCACCACAACATAGCCTTCCACATCAGGAATGGAGACACAGGACTCTTCACTGAAACATCTGAAGGAGAAAAGGAGAATGCAAGAGTTGGCCCTAYGTTTTACCACCTCGCATTGTCAAAGAGCATCTCCTGCCCATTACTGCCAGTGAAGGGATTTTTTTTTTCTGGCAGTCTTCCAAAAGCTTCCCTATAGCCTGCTGTGCAAGAGAGAGAGATGTGCTAGGAATGACAATCAATATGTTTCAGGTGACTTGGTGACATCCACACACTGCAGAGAAGAATTAAAACCAGCCCACATGCCTGGAACATCATGAGTGAATGCAGAAGTTCTGCTACACCTGGATGAACCCT